ATCTGTTATTTCTGTAGTATGCAACATAACTGCTTAGAAAAAATGCACGTTGAACATAAGCAATGATGTGGACCTTCTTACGTGATAATGATAATGAACAGTCGCAAATTCACCAAGAGGAGGGTTAGGTAACAGTGCAGTCAAAGCCACATTCAATTGCCACTGAAATGTAGAGACATTGTGAACAGATAGCAGATGGAAGAAAACCCCCAAACATTTCAGCGAGCCAATAACGAGGAGTGGTGGACACGATATTTCGCTAGATTCTGTCTCCAAAGAAGTGCTTCACTTTTTGTTCTCAGAGATAAATCTGACATTGTTGATGTTTCTATTGAATAAATTATGGAAAAAAGCCAGTTTCTCCTGTGTCCACCATTGTGCCCTTTCACTCAGGCACTGTTTCAACAATTCCCATGAGACGTCCTTATTTTTCCACATGACTTTAATGCACAGAGGTGGGGAAAGGTCATCATCTTTATTTACAATCGTTTTAACCACTTACAACTGAGGATGCATTTTTGGCTTAGCTCAACAAAGCCACCATTCATGAATCCCCTCCAAGCGTTTAATTCGAGGTTGGACCACGAGGAACACGACTCACTGTCCTCGAATGACCCGAGTCCAACGACATGTTCCAAATAACGCGATTTATATTTTTGCCGGTGTTGAAGAACATTGCAAAATTGGCCTGTTTGCAGTCGCTCTCAGGAACTCTTTGTGCAGTGTTGCCTCTAAATGGATCTCAATGTTAATGATTGGTTACAGTTAATTAACTTGGGTGATGTAACATATGTTGCCTTGTTTGTAAATTCATTACTGATCCGATGCTCAAGTGAACTGAGATAGAACAGCAATGCTCTGAATTCCTTTCAATGCTCAAATTATCTGTGCACCTGTAAACAACGACAAAAAGCTCCAGCTTTGGCCAACATGAAACGAGGTTGGGCACAGTTACAATAACCAAAACAAAAATAAAAGCAAAACTAAGCAGGGACTTTTTAAAAGATTCTGTCACCAGCACCGAGAAACACGACGGGCTAATAAGAGTAGAAGCATGTGTCCTTCTGTGGCTTCTCTGGGGCTGAGCCAGGCCGTGGAAACCACAGATATGAGAATCATGAAGGGGACAGTTAACATCTGATGTTGAAGGAGCAAACTGTACTTTCCTCTTCTTATTCTAACACTTAAGGCACAGCAGAAGATATGCAGATAAAATCTCCTCATAAAAGTTGACAGAAACGGACAAAATATTGCCAATCTGATTCCAAGTCAGTCTCCAAAGTTTGTTTCTTCTTACTGCTGCAACAGGTGGTTTTATCATTCAAAACTTACATGCATGCCAAAGTGCTGCCTGCTCAAATCAGGCTTTTTCATGTTTTTATTTTTGCTTTATTTAAATAAAAAGAAAAGGACTTGAATTATTAATCCTCCTTCTAAAGTTGGATGAATGTTTTTTAGGTGTCTGTCTTGTTTATTTTCACCTGAAACTATCAGCCACTCTCTTTGAATTTATTACCTGAAAGTACAAATTTACAGGATACTCCCAGAAAAATATGACCCGTTCTGTAAACGGCTGGCTTCTCCTTATCTTTACGGGACAACACGTTATTAGCAGCTTGGCCCAGTTTACTCAGTGCACCTGGGTCTCTTGAAGTTCAGTCATTTTCACGCATACCACCAGCACTTTAAATATGTACTTGTCAGTAAGTCTCTGCAGAGTGCATGAAAGCAGCTCAAAGGTCACTGTGCTTGGACTTTATGTGTTCAGTGTTGCATGGTTTGTTTGCAGCACGCACTTCGAGAGCTGCTGGAAAGTAGCATTAAGATTTGTGCTGTTCTTCTAACAGTCAAGAATTTCTATGCCTCTTTGCTTCACCGTAGACAAATTTAACAACAAATTTGATCATTTTGAGGTTTTTTGTTTTTTTGTTTTGTTTTTTACAAACCAAAAAACCACCAATAGAAAAAAGGCTCATTGCGTTGCAGACACTGATCTTGCAAGACTTTGTTCACTTGTGCATGCAACAGCCCAAATTCAAGTGCATGTGGTTAGTTCAACAGAAGTGAATGCTTCCCCCTAGCCCCACATGTCAGAATCAGAGTCATATTTTATTGACGTGACCCTTGATCCCTGGCAGGCAACCATGTACCTGGATCATGTTTGGGGACAGACATGTTGATATCCTTCTGCGTCTAGGCCCTGGGTCAGTGGAGTTCATGTAGATGGGTGGGGAGGGGTGCTTGTTAGCGCACAGCCTCTTTAACCGGTCAAGCAGGAGAGAAGAACAGCAACAATTTTGTTCCAGGGCTGGCTGACTGGCTAAACCTGTGAAGTTGTGTTCATGACGTGCACGACATTCTTTAGTTGGACCCTGAGGAGAACCTGAGAAAGCAGTCAGTTTGAATATTGTTTCCCACTGCATTCAACAAATGCATGTAATCAGAAACATGTTTCTTAACCAACTGATAACGTGCTGATATCAGTTTATGTGTCATAATTATTACTACTTAGCCCTTGAGAACAGTTACATATGTTCTGCGGTTTCAGAAAACAAGCACACTGATACTAATAAGGATGTGATCGGGTACGGCTCTGAGGACACAAATTTACAAACGAAAGCTTTTGTTACTAACTCCGAAAGATGTGGACATGGACGCTGCACCTGATATAAGCTGACTAATCGTATCTGTGCAACCTCTTCTTGCCTGCAAGTAAACAACCGAACCAGGAAATCCGATGTCTTTTTTTGTGTGTTTTTTTTCTCCTGCCAACGCGAGTGACTCTACAGAGATTGGTCTGTCATTCAGAACAGAAAAAGTTGCTTCATTCAAAGGATGTGAAGACAAACAACCCACAGAAACTTGCACCTAAAGATAACCACTGGGGGAAAAACATCGACAGTGAAAACAACTAGAAATAGAGCACTTTGTTGCCATAGCCACCTGATGAGCTTTAATTTAGAAACACTAAACTGCAGAGGAGAGACTGAAAAAAAAATCAGTCTGACAATTTATTGTTTCTGTTTTGCATTGTTAGTTGTGTTTTAGAAGCATTTTTCATTTAACAATATAAGATTGGTCATATGTGACATTAAAAGAAAATAAACAATCAGTTAAAATGTACTACATGTAAAATGTGGCTTTGATGATGTTTTCTGCACCATTTACTTTGGATTTGCTGGCAGCTAGTTTATCAAGCTGAAGTGTTTTAATACCTATGCAAACAGAGCAGTGCTGACACTGGACGTACGGTAAAAGTGACTGAAGGTGTGGATAATAAAAGTGGATTATGGCCATTCTGGGAAGCACTATTTCCTAATAGTAAGACGGTCCTTTGTTTGAATCCACCAGCTAACATTCCCTCTCTGTGTGTCTGTGAAGGTTCTCAGTCATCCAGGTCATCGTAGTCAAAGGAGCTTGCAAAGAAAAGCGTCTGGACTTCTTTAAGTTGCTTGAAGACGTTTCACCTCTCATCCGAGAAGCTTCTTCAGTTCTAAGGTCAAATGGTGGAGAGTCCCAGATATAAACCTAGTGGGAGTGACCCCCCACAGAGGGACAAAAGGACCCCCTGATGATATACATGCAAACTCTGTGCAGAGTTTGCATGTATATCCTGTTGTTGCAAGAGAGAGAACCTGTGCGGGTTCTCTCTGTACTTCCTCCCACATGAATGTTAGATTAATTGATGATTTTGAACTGACAGTAATTGTGAATGGCTGTCTGGCTCTATGTTGTAATCGTGTGACAGACTTGTGACCTGTGTAGGGTTGATGGTGTTTTCATTCAAGAAGGAATGAGTACAACTCAAAGTTCATGCACTATGTTATTTATATAATATCCTTCTCCCTACATCCCAGATGAAGTTTAATGCTCGGGGAGAAATGCGATATTTGTTGGTGTGAACAGGTTAGAAAGCAGATTATTGTGTACATATAATCCCGAGCTCTCACTAATAAGTAAACTATCTCCGCACCTAAAGGAGGACAAAAACAATAACAAATATCTGGTACAAGGAAGCAGATAATGAGTTGCAGATTGCACTGAGTTAATCGGGGGTGAGCCATTAGTGAAGTGCATGTGCATCTAGGAACATGCCATAAACTTTACCGCAGTCTGTTCATAATTTTCATACCGTGACGTTAATATCTTCAGACTTTCAAAACAGTTCAGGACCTATTCAGGAACTTTGTTGCACAATAATTATCAATTAGTTCAAGATCTGTTGACTCATCGATTAGTCCCCGGGGTGTTCTGAGTGTAAACCAGATTAAAATGCAGCTGCTGATGGTGAGACAGGAAGTGGTTGGAACACAGACGAGTGTATCTCAGCCTTGTGGAGAGTTGAGGGCTGTACACATGCACATGCATCGCTTTAGACAGCCCATGTGTGACACTAAAGTAGGCCTTTATAGTAGGCAGTGTTTGTGCGATTCTTCACACAAAATGTGTGTATGATGTGAGATCGCGTTTTGGTTATGATCTCTAACACATGAACAAATAATCAGTAGAACTTTTCTACTAGATCAAAAGAAAATGCTTCAGTTTGAAGTGATCTTAATCGAGTTTAACCAGCGATGGAAAGGCATTTTTAGGGCAAGCCGAGTGTGAAATGAAACCCACGTGTTAAAAACAACAACAAAACAAGTAAGCCGCTATTAGCGTTTGAATTATTTGGGTGTAAGATGACATCTAAACTCTTCTTAGGCGTAAGGGAGGGTTTTAGAGCTACAGCAGGCGCTCATGTTCCCCTCGGTATTTATAACTCGGTCAGCTGACCTTGTACTTGGACTGATCCACTTCGCGGGGGATGCGAAGTCAGACGGGAAATAAAAAACACATTAAAAATTGCGATTTTTGACACGGGCTTTAATAACCCCACAGCTGTGTTTTAATCCCGGCGTTTATTGATCAAATGTCGGTTACTCCCCGCAGTGCTGCGGGCCCACGGCTGAAAGGCCGCCGGCGGCGGAGAGCAGCTCCTCCGCTGCTCGGAGGATGGTACGGCCCTGTGTTGAAATTCCGAGAATTGAGCCGCTCTGTTTCTTAGAACTGGATTCTCAGAACTGGATTCTCAGAACTAGTGATGCACAGAGTTTCGAGGAAACTTTTACAAGGTGACTTTTTTTCCCTTCCTATTTTCTCAGCATTACCCTCAGAAGTGTAGAGAAGTAGCAGATGCTCGTGTGGCTTCCTCGCCTCTATGTCTTTCTTTCTCCTTTAATTTCTGTGCCACTTATTTTCATTATTGCGAAGGTTTTATGGCTCCGTTAGCCAGGAGTGAAGTAAACGATGTGAGCCGTGGTAGCTGTTCAGATGGGATAGTTAGTAAAGACGGTCTTAAACTTTCCTTTTATGTGTTTATTCCAGCTCACGAGGCCTGTTTGTCTTATTGTGTTATTATTTATTATTATTTTTAGAAAGCTGTTTAGTTGATACCACCCTTTCACATGATCGAGGTTACATATCAACCGGGAAACAGTGGCGCAACAGGACCGGTCGGACTAGTTCAGTCAACATCTAGATTTCCTCTGCGTATTTCTTTTGTCGACACTATTTTCACTTGTTTAATTGTGCCCTTCAAACTGAGCCGACTACTTTTTTTGATCTTTGATTCGTAAACCATCAGTTCTAACTCCGCAATCGGTGTTTAAACACCATGAAAACATATTACGAAACTTCGCGACAGCCCTTCGGACATGACAGCTGAGTAGTATTTCCATACTTGACAGGGCTCGCGCTGACCTGCTCGGCTTTAACGCACAGCAGCGAGACTACTCAGCCGCCACTCCTTGAAATCACATCCTACGAAATCATGCCGCCTCGGTTTAGTCTGAAACTGCGAAGGTTTAGAAACAACTGTTTGGGTGGGGTGAGGGGGAGTGAATGTTAATGGGTTAAAGGAGATGAATTGCAGTTAAATCGGGGAACAGGAAACCTCTCTGTGCGCGCTGGCAACCTAATCTGAGCAGCCGGGACGGAATGTGCTCAACGTCAAACGCGCTCACGGACTGTGGGCTGCCAGCAGATAGTTTGCTGTGTTTGTCCACACGCTGTGCCGCTGCAGCGGAAAGACGAGACGAGTTAAACACTTGCGACACGGACACACTAAGTCACCGGTTTTACTGTTTTATGTTTGCGCTTTATTTCCCGCGGTCAAGATTTGCTGCAACTTGACAGAAGCTTGTGTAGACATTGACCCAGTGAAGCAGTGCGGCTGTTTTCCATAATATGTTGAAATGCTGATTAGAGGTTGTACTCTGTAATATCACCGTCATATAGGCTCAATTATTGTCAGAGCAGGGCTGTAAAGGTTTAGTGAGCCTCCCTTATTTGCGTTTCTCTTTGCAATGGCGCCTCCTTTTGTCCTAACGTTGTTACTGTTTTGGTTTGAAGTTTGTTTTGAAGCTACGTGGCTCATACTGAACAGCAGCAGCATGTTTTGAACCAATTAAAAATTTCTGTCACGCCAGGTTTTTATTTGTGGAATAATTGAAACGTTCATACCAATAAAATCGTGTAACTTTATTTTCACCTTGTTTGTTTTTTCTTCCTACATTCAGCCCACAGTGGGTCAGTTGTAGAGTTTTCCATATTGATCACACCCTTTACAACTTTTGCACAGGTTATGACAGCATGGCCACGACTGCAGACGACTGCATTCAGTTCACACGCCATGCAGGCGACGTCCTGCTCAACTTCAACCGCCTGCGCAGCAGGAACATCCTCACCGATGTGTCCATACAGGTGGACGGACAGCTTTTCCGAGCTCACAAGGCCATCCTGGTGGCTTGCAGGTATACACTGTCAAAAGATCTGACTCGAGTTCACCAACACAAGACTATATATGTAACTACTATGTCATTATTTATAGTGAATAAGTTGGAATTGGGAAATTTGGTTTCGTAGCTCATACCAAACTATCTCTCTTTCTGTTTTACAGTGGCTTCTTTTATTCCGTGTTCATGGATCCTGAGAATGCAAACCTCAGTGCCATCAGCTTAGACCCCAAAGTAGACCCCAAGGCTTTCTCCATCCTTCTAGATTTCATGTACACATCCTGTCTGAACCTTAACGACACTGTGGTCGTGACCACCCTGAATACAGCCATCTACCTCCAGATGGAACACGTGGCCAACACTTGCCACAGATTCATTAAGTCCAGGTAAAAACCTAAAAAATAAATAAAAGAAAATGCCTTGTCTTGGGGGAAAAACTAAAGAGATCTGACTTAGAGATGAATGTGTTTTTACAGGAGCGTGCAGAGTGAAGAGATACAGAGGAACTCATTACATCTGGCTGAAGAAATCTCTGCTTTAAGGCCCGACTATGTAAACAACTGTACACCAAACATGCCCCTTCCTCACGAGTCCAGAGGCTACATGCCCAGTGTTTTCAGGGGGATCAACACGTCTGGCTCCTATCACGTCTATGGTGACGTCTGTATTGCTGCTGAGAAATTAGAAGGTTCTCCGAACATTAGATGCTCACTAGTACCCACCACCAACATGGCTCACAATGAGTCCAATGCCATTATATCCCACTCACTCCCATCCCATGTCGGTTACCTCCCCAGTATCATCCGCCCGGCAGTAGCTCACAGCAGCTTTCAAGGACCTGTTCCTCCAATGGAGGAAGACAGCATTCAGCACCCACAAACCAACTGTGTAAGAACGTCCCCAGGCTTTAGCAAAGGTGTCATTTGCAGCCCCCAGAGCCCCCTTAGATCTGACTGCCAGCCAAACTCACCCACTGAGTCGAGCAGCAGCAGAAATGCAAGCATGAGCCTCAAGTGGCAATCAGACTGCCCCAAAGATATGAAGGCCCGCAACTGGAAGAAGTACAAGTTCATCGTTATGAACCAGACTTCGGATGGGAATGAAAAGGAGGCTCAAGGAAACAACGCTAATGCTACCGGCGCCATGCCCCCTACACCAAGCCCTGGCAAGAGCAGTGAGGCAGGAGGACACAGCGATGTCCAGGCAGAAGAAGGAGCTGGTGACCATCAAGAAGAAAGTCCCAGGTCTCAGAGTGTGGACAGCACAAGCTGCAGCAGTGTCAGGTAAAAGTGCAGCTCACAGACAGATCTAATGTGAAATCAGCGCTTTATGACGTTAAGGAGCTTAAAGTAACTTCATACTAATGTTGCTCGTCTTCCTCATTGCAGCAACAACAGATGCTCCACATGTGGCTGCGACAGCCCTCAGTGTATGGAAGCAGGCCACCTGTCTCCTGACTCATACAGCAAAGATGACTCCACCAAGCTACACTCGGATTATTCCACCTCCAGCTGTGGTAAGAGGAACGCACAAATATTAAACTGTTAGCTTGTCTTTAAGCTCTAAGAAGCCTTTTGATCTGATTTTGTGTCATTGTTAGTCACATTTTCATTTATTTCTACTTCTTTTTGCAGAAAACAACAGTTACATCTGCAACGGGTGCGACTCAAAGTTCTCAGACGAAGATTCTCTCAAAGAGCACATGGCCCAGGTCCACAGTGACAAGCCATACAAGTGTGACTGCTGCCAGGCTGCCTTCCGCTACAAGGGCAACCTGGCCAGCCATAAGACTGTTCACACAGGTAAGAGTCACTGCAGGCTCTGCCTCATTTTCAGAACTCAAGGAAGGGAGTTGTTGTATTCACCTGCTTTCCTTAACCTCCAGGTGCAAAGCCATACCACTGCAACATCTGCGGAGCTCAGTTTAACCGGCCAGCCAATCTCAAGACTCATACTCGTATCCACTCTGGAGAAAAGCCATACAAGTGCGAAACGTGTGGGTCCCGATTCGTCCAGGTGAGGAGAAGAACCCCCCCCCCAAAAAAAAACCCCACCTTCTCATCTTTATGAAAAATTTCAAGTGTAGCCTCATTATTAACATTAGTCATTTTCTCCCGCAGGTGGCCCACCTTCGTGCACATGTGTTAATTCACACGGGGGAGAAACCGTACCCTTGTGAGATCTGCGGAACGCACTTTCGTCACCTTCAGACACTCAAGAGCCACATGCGCATTCATACTGGAGAGAAGCCTTATCATGTAAGCTTCCTAGTCACCCTCCCCTCTTTATCCAACGTGTCTGCTGGCTAAAAACAGAGTAATCCCATCATGCTGGTGATCCATATGCCTGTCAATAGTTATAATTCCTGACTGGTAATCCTCGAAAGAGCTAGCTGATCTGAGCTGTCCATTTATAAACAAGGATTCTAAATAATGCTTTTATTTCTCCTTTACTTTAGTGTGAAAAATGTGACCTCCACTTCAGACACAAGAGTCAGCTGAGGCTTCACCTGCGACAGAAGCACGGGGCCGTCACTAACACCAAGGCTCAGTATCGCGGGTCTCCCGGCAACATCCTTACAGGCCTGGCGAACTCCTGCTGAGCGTGCTGCAGACCTTCATCTCCCCCCCCCAAAAAAACCCCCCAACTTTTTTCTTTCACCAGCCGGTATGCCGTCAAAAATTCTATTTTTTTTCTAAACACAACCAGGAATTTGTGTTGCCCTTTACGTATTTGTACGTGATGCACATACTTTATGTAAGTTCTTTGTGAATGTTTAACGACAGAATGTACTTTTTTTTTTTAATGTGAATTTAAAATTTCTTTTTTGGCAAATCACTCAACACAGTGTCTGAATTGAAGGACAGCCCTCCTTTTTGTACGCATTGAGAATCACTGTTACACTTGTGCTTCAGCTGTAGATATGACTTCGCCCATTAATGTGGTCTTTTGCAGTCTTACGCTGTTATTTGTTTGTTTGCCAAGGCTTGCCTGTAAATAAGATAATATATATATTTTAAGATTGCCATCTGCTGGCAGAGTACGAATATATTTACATTTTTCTTAATGCAGTAAGCTTTACTGACTGTCAGTAACACCAGGAATTGTTGTTTTGTTGTGTCATAGGTTGTGGTACTTATTGCAATAAGCATAGCTCGTCAGTCATTTAAGCAAATGTTTTTATTGTATTGTACAGTTTTCCCTTTTCATTTCTGGTTTAATGTTGTTGTTTTGCACATGCACATGATGCTGTAATTCATATATTTTCTTACTTTTATTCACGTATTTCTACTTAACATGTCAAAAAAGCTTGTTAAAATCAGTTCTCAGCACTTGCATTCTTATTTATATATATATTTTTTATTTTTCTTGGCTGAATTCTTTTGCATTTGGTGCTGCATTGATCCGTTTTTCTCAGCAGGATCATTAAACTTTGATAATCTTTTTACCTTGTGTGTCATAGTTCAATCGGACTAACCAGTTGAATCATTAGTGCCTTACAGTCACACGTTTCTGCTAGCTGCTTTCTCTGACTGCCCATTAAGGCATTTTACTGTCAACAATACGACTGCTGCAGTGAACTGCTTCTGTGATGCATTTCCCGTTTCGCATTTGGTACTTTGCCCTGTTATTATGTGAAAGCATGTCAAGGTACTGTTTTTTTTGAAAGCTTCTGTTCTGTAATGTGTAGCTCTTTAAATGCAGACACCAGGCCTCAAGCTAAAACACTCAGGAATATTAGTAATATGTAAGCAAATGTCTGTAACTACAGATTTTATTACAAACACAAAAATAAAATGTTTATTATATAGCACACAATGCAGCATTTGTTTTCATTATTTTTAAGAAACATGATTCGAGCAATGAGTCATCCCAGCATTTAAAATTCATAACTGAATATTGTAGACATGTGGGAAATGTAGAGTATATATCAAACCTCATCTCTGGCTCTTCCTTAGTCTTTGTTGTCAGCTTATATTTGTTTTAAAAAAATCAGTGATGGAGGGAATCAGTTCCTATGAAGACCAACAATGCAATGGCTAAATGAAATGCTGAGATATGTATGTACATTTGAAGGTACATATTCTTCTTACTGACAGAGACGCACACGCTTTGATTACTACATCAGTTCAGTAAAAGATAAACAATTAAAAGACAAAGCTCCAGAAATATCACAGGACAAACGCTGCCAGCACCCTTTTCTATGTTTTTACTCAGTTAGTGAAATTCCAAACAATAACACAAACTAGTTTTTTTTTCTTTTCTTTTATTTCTTTATTTTTATTTACTTCATCAGCTTTTCTTTATGACATATTAAAACAGACATATTATGGAAATTGCACTTCACCGAGCATATACTGTGATGTTTGGCGCCACCTGCTGGTTTATTAGGATGGAAACGAGGAGCTGTGGCTTGTCTACAAACTACATCCAGTCAGATACATACACTGGTGGACAATGACGCTTTTTTAAAAAAAAAGTTTTGCATCTGTTCACCGTCACAAAGGTGGCATATAATTTTAAATAAAAGTGTAGACTTTCATCTTTAATCCAAGGGGTCTAATCAGGAATTACAGCCACATTCAGAGGCTTAAAATTAACTGGAGGTGCAGTTTCCTGGCCTGGTGACGCCAGTTTCATGATTATTCCATGCATTTGGTATCTTTTTATTGAAACTCACGATATGATGAATGTCAAAAAGAAATGTTGATTAAAGTGAACGACGCTGTAATTGGGCGTATTTAACCAAGTCAAGAAAACTCTTGAGGAGATGAGTGTATCATTGTTGAGGTCTACAATCATGAGGAACCTTCACGGATGTCAATACAGAGGGTTTACAGCGAGGCTGAAACTACTGGTTACACTCAAGAACAAGAAAGCCAGATTAGACTTTTCCAGAAAACATCAGAGAATCTTTGGACAGATGAAACCAAGATGAACTTGTACCAGAATGATGGGAAGAGAGACGTGTGGAGAAGGGGAGAAACGGCTCATCTGATCTGAAGCTCACCTCATTATATGTGGAGGCAGTATTGTGACATGCGGATGAATGGCTGCCAGTGGAACCGGCTCACTAGTGTTTATGATGATGTGACTGCTGATAGAAGCAGCAGGATGAAAAACAAAGTGTTCAGGGCTATACTCTCTGCGCAGATTCAGACAAATATTGTATAGACAACACTATTGTGTGAGCTGCCAGGGACCATTTTGGTTAATTCTTTCAAACTCACCAGGCAGCGTTTGAAATGGATGATGACTCAGAAGCATTCTGCCAAAGTAACTCAAAGAGTTTCTTAAGGTAAAGAAATCAGATATTCTTCAATGGTCAAGTCAGTCACCTGATTTTCAACCCAGCAGATGATGTTTTTCAGTTATTAAGGACAAACTCGCAATCAAGCAGTAACTGAAGGCAGCTGCAGCAAAGGCCTTGGAGAGGGTCTCAAGGGGAAAACATATTTATCCATTTGTTCTACAGTATTTTCATCCAAGTACTAAAAACAATTCTTGTATTTAAAACTATGTGCTTTACTTTGAACCCAGCATTTCAGTCACATATTGATTGGTTTTAAAATCCACTGCGGTGTCGACAGAGGTAACACAAAAGAGACGGCACTTTTAAAAGAACTTAAAAACGTACACAGCGCATACTTAACTTCACCTAATCTTCATTTTCACTATCACTAATCCCAGCTCGCATAGGCGTGATGACGCGCGTTCTGGAATAATAATGTGGGCATTCATCGTCAAATTGAAGCTTATCACAGGAACATGTAGCAGATACTGACACACGGCACAAAAGCGAGTGTTCATGCTGTAGTGCTGTCCAGTAAACATGAGATGGATGTTGTATTCATTTTATTTGGATGGCAGAGAGGCTATATGTGGTTCAGTACAGACTTAACTCCTTCCTTGTCATCAGATCAAACATTTTTTATCAAGAGCGAGATAGCTTCTATCAATGCCCCTGAAAACATTTGTCATACGTACAGTTTTTCTTAGACTTTCAGTGCTGCGAGTGCCTTTGACAAAAGAAGTGTGTCTCTAAGCTGAGGCCTCAGACTATGAGGAAAGACTACACTGTGAGCTCTTCTGAATAATAACTAGTTCATCACAAGTAGCCGCTTGCCATTGCTACCTCCACATTCATACACATTTTACATCCTCACAAATAAACAGTACAGCGTTTACAAAGTCAAAATTAACCAAATGTAAAAAGTCATATGAATGAACATATAAACTTATTATAGTGTAAATGCAGTTGATAAAAAGAAATATAAAAGATAAATGAATGTTGGCAGTTGGCGAAACTCAACCCTCTTTGTCTAGGATGGCTTTCACATCAGCGAACACCTGGAATAGACAAAAAGCAACGTGTTAGAAAGCCTGAACTACTGGAAGAGCTGCAGGTGAAGCTTATCTCGCCGTCCGTGGATATGTATTACTGTTTTTAAATGACAGGTGCAACAAAAACTCAATAAAAACTGGAAATCCAGTAAAGGTCGCCTCTTTGACATGCCTGAGCGGCTGTTCCGAATACTCCAATCAATCAATCAATCAATCAATCAATCAATCAATCAATCAATCTATCTTTATTTATAAAGCACTTTTCATACAGAAATGCAGCACAAAGTGCTTTACATGGTTAAAAGCAGCCCACCCCATCCCGCCCTCCATTTCACTCCCCACACTCTCATTAACATAAGCGGTCATGGATACACGCCACACACACACACACACACACACACTCACACACACACACACTCGAAAAGTAAAATTGGGCAAAATTAGGCTGGGCACACATGAGCCAGGTGAGGGAACACTATCACAGGGAGCCGTCTGCACCGGGAGCCAGTCACAGACTGCAGCCTCCAGGCTGGGCACACAGCAGGAGGGAGGCAAAGAAGCCCCCAGCCAGGCTGAGAAGAGCCACAGCAGCCACGGTCGATCACAACCCCGGTGCAGAGAGCGCCCTCCGAGGAAACACTGGAGATATGACCTAATAAGAGTATATACAGAATAAAAAGATAAAATACAATAAATATTATGTAGAACCTAATTTAATAATATAAATAGAATAACAGGATAACATAGAATAAATAAACGCTAAGTAAAAGCTAAATTAAAAAGGTGGGTCTTGAGCCTGTTCTTAAAAACATGTACGTTCTCTGCGGCCCTGAGCTCCTCCGGCAGGCTGTTCCACAGACGAGGACCATACCACTGAAAAGCTGCCTCTCTGTGAGTATGTGTCCTGACTTTAGGGACAATCAAAAGGCCAGCACCAGAGGACCTCAGGGTCCGCGAGGGTTCATATGGTAAAAGCAGATCTGAGAGATAAGAAGGCCCAAAACCATTAAGACATTTAAAAACCAATAAAAGAACTTTAAAATCGATCCTGAAACACACGGGGAGCCAGTGCAGCGATTCTAAAACCGGTGTAATGTGGGCCCGCCCTCTGGTCTTCGTCAGCACACGAGCTGCCGGGTTTTGTAAAAGTTGCAAAGTTGAAATATTCCTTTTAGGAAGACCAGAGAGCAGGGCATTACAGTAATCAATGCGACTGGTAATAAAAGCATGCATCAGCATCTCCATGTTGGCCCAAGAGAGAATAGGCGGGACTCTGGCTATATTTTTCAGATGATAGAATCCAATTTTGGTTACATGTTTAATATGTGGGATAAAACCAAGCTCAGAGTCGAAAATAACACCCAGGTTTTTCACTTGTAGCGAAGGACATAGTGAAAATGCCTGTAATTTAGACTCTCTGAGCCTCAGGACCGACGATTAAAACTTCAGTTTTGTCCTGGTTAAGCTGTAAAAAGTTTTCTGCCATCCAAGATCTTATATCTAAAATACAGTTAAAAAGGGCATCCATTGGTCTGGTGTCATCAGGAGACACGGAGATGTACAACATCAGCGTAAGTGTGGAAGTTCACTCCATGCCTCCTGATGACACCGCCAAGAGGGAGCATATACAAATTAAAAAGTACAGGGCCTAAAACTGACCCTTGGGGCACACCACAAGTCATTTTATGGGCACTTTTGTGTCTGCGATGAGTGCTGGATGTCCGTCAAGTGTGTCCGAGTAGCAGATAAAAGTGGATGATGTCACATGGGTAACAAATCTTTGGATGCAGTAAATGACAGACATGCCAGGTAAACCCAGGACAGGTGGCCAGTCTGTCAAAGGGCTAATGTATATTCAAATAATTCTAAAAAAAAATTAGTTATTAAAAAAAAACCCTAAAATGTCTTAAACTCTCTGATTAGTGTGACTCAGATTTGGGTTTGTAGCATGAGAAATAACAAATAACTTGCTCCAGCACTTTTTTCTTCTTCCACTTTTAAAAGTGGAAAAAGGTCATTTTGTGCGCATGGACACGGGTACACCAAAACACTGTTTGGAAATTTGTGCGTGCGTGAAAAAAGTGTAAGATTTGTGTCTAGGGAAATGAATTAGTAGACTAAAGGTCATGACTATTTCATGAACTGCTGTGAGACAGTGTTAAATGTTAACGACAGGAGAATAGAAAACGCTGGGATGAAAGATTCCTCCTCTGAAAAGTTGAGTGAGAAGTGATGAGATAAGCTCTCATCATCATCAGCGATGATTTTCTCTGGGCAGCTTTGGGCCCAATGTGAAACTGCAGAAGAGGCCTTATCTAAAAATAGTGATGCAGAGGTGCACAAGGAAATGAGCCTGAAAGGGAGATTGGTGGATTTACTGAACATCACAACCACCATATGATGGCAGCCTTGGCACGAAAACCTGTCAAAATACCCGTTTGCCCAAACTACCAGTTCCCCCCGACAATCCCAACAGCATTCGATCTAAAATGTGAAAAATTACAACTTGAAAACATCCTGGGTGCATGATGGGGGACTGTAAGTAGCATTCTTCACATAATCTCTCTCATATAGCAGGGCTTGTTTGCCTTAACTGGCCTTAACTGGCCTCTATGGGAGGCATTCTTGAATGTTTTCCTGCAGTCGACGCCGTTTACGCACCTCATCCACTGAGCGAGAAGCATCTATAGTGTGCACTTTGCCTTGTTTCTCATACAGATCAATGATTGGTCGTGTAGACTGCAGGTAGGTTTGGATTCTGCAATGAAGAAAAATATGGCATGTTATCGGGGTCAGATGACACAAGGGACTCCAAGCAGACATAAATTAGGTCAAAAACATTTGTGCAGGTATCTACCAGTAAGTTAAATGGGGCAGACAAATCTATAGTGATCAGACATGCATGTTTTTCCTATAGAGGGGAAAAAACGAACACAGGAAATGGACGACTCAGTGGTATATTATTAAATTAAAACAGATTAAAGGTCTGACTCCAGATATTAGTTCCTCAGTAGAGAACTGCACCTTTTCTCCAGGCTCTCCCTGTTGTCATCTGTTCGTCCACTGCTCTTTCCTCTTTCTAGACATCTGTTGATGCAAACCTGCAGACAGAAGAGTCAAAATCAGTGCAAAATAACTCGCAAAACATCAGCTCAGCACAGCAGAACCACATTTCCACCAAAAGTACTTTTAATTCCAGGATGTTTTTTCCCCACTGAAATCTAAAAACTTAAGATGATTTGCCAGGTGTAAGAACATGCTCTTTTTACACTTTAGTTTTGTGGGTGACTACACAACAATTTGACATCACTCTACTTCAGCAGGTGGTAGCAATACAGAAGATGAGAATGAAGCAAATAAATGTTAAATGATTTCTCTGTATCCTCATTTAAACAGCAATCCCTGCTGTGAAATGGACAATAAAAGGTCCATGACTTACCTCATTGCTGCAGTCAAAGAAAAGCACAAATTTAACATCAGCTTTTCCATCCATGACACTATTCCACCCCTGAAGGTTGTCCTCGTTTCGGGGGAAACCATCGATGAGAAACCGGAACTTATTCTCGTTTTCCTTCATCGTCGCTTCCATGGCCTAACAAAACGGGAAGAACAAACAGGAAATATTTTGCATTTGAGATTTTTTTTTGCATCTGTAACAGTTCATATCATGATGCTGACATACTTAAAATTAAAATTAGTCTCTCAGTGCAGCAAACAGACCACAGTCATCCAAGAAAGTGATTCTGAAACACTACCAGTAAACTCTAGCAGAAGGTATCTAACATACAACTTAAAATACATTTTTTGTCTCTTTAGTTTAGAAAAACAAAGCAGTATAACCTGAATGATAAACAGAAAGAAATCATTCACATTACATTCAAATGACTAAAATGTCAGAATCAAATTCAGGGTTTTGGAGAAAAATTTAAATATTAAAAGTTAAAACTCAGTTTTGTAGAATTCTTTTGTTTGAACAAATAGTGTAAAAGTGTAGTTGAAAACAGGTCTGACCTGCAGGATTTTCTTTCTAGGCGAACCAGATTTACAACCTGTATTGAATACACACCTTCCTGAGTAAGTTGATGGTGATCTCCACTGGGACGATTTTGCCCTCTTTGATGTAGTTGGCAATGAGCTGTCCAAACTCTGACTCTTCTCTGGCTCGCTCTTCCCTGAGTAAATCCCCAGCTGACAAATGGGTGTAGCCATAACTCTAAGAAACACACAAATTTCTAAATTGAATCAAGTAACAGTGATGAGAATCGAAAACTATTTTCCAGGTGTGTACATTTCTGTGAACACTGCGACAGCCTTTACAGACAGCATAAATCTTTCTAACTCGCAGGCTGAGCAGAAAAAAAAGAGTCAGTCCTGAATGAAAGGAGCCTCTATGCCTCTAGCTGCCACAAGGCCCGATCGCTGCACTTGAAGCATGGCAGCCAACACCCAGTAACATCCGTGAACAAGGGTAGCTATAAAGTCTCTCTCTCAAAGAAGCTGTGTCTGCCAAACACACATCAAAGAATCCACGGCGGCCCCCAGTAGAGCTGCAGCTTCAGGAGCTTCAGACAAACATCAAAGCAGCAGCCTCATTACGAGTCCTGGCTTTGCTTTGCTGACTTTCAGGATGATCTGATGAAATAAATAAAATAACTTTTTGTTCTGGCCCGACTGAACAAATAAATTATGGGTTAAAGAAAACTTCCAGTAATATACAACAGCCTCTTTCCCCCGATACTTTGATTCTTTTAAAAAATGTTTTCTTACTACATTCCTGACATGTGTTGACGTGTGCCTTGCCTTATCAGCAGGATGGGGTGATTAGTTCCTTGTCCAATACCTGTCTATGTCTATGTCATTATTTGTTTCTGATCGTTCAAAGTCAAGGCTAGTGTGGCCAAGTGCACTCCAGACTCGCACTGACATTACATAACCCCATCTGCACAGATAGTGTATTGACTTTTCTTCAGTGCTATCATCCTATCCTACATAAACAGGTATTATTTAGCCCATTCATCCAGTCGCAGGACTCCACAAATACCTTATTCTTTGCTGCTCTCACTCAATTGTGAAGAATTATTGTCATCGAGTCTCCTTGAAGAAATAAATATATTAAAATATAGCTCCTGCTTCTCTTTCGGCACTTAATCTGGATATCCTGTGAGGTGAACAAGCTAGCTGCCTGGCTAACGCACAGGTTCGTTTTAGAGGACAACCGGAAGTGACAGAAAACTGGGATACTATCCTATAATAAAAGATCCTACTGAAGTCGCAACAATAAAAAAAAAGAGGCATATCCCCCTGAACCACATTTGCACCACGTCATTCACAACCCTGCTCGATGAAGAGGGCCGTTTTCATTGCCCTTTCTCTCATACCTCCACGATTTTGGAGCACTGAGTTCCTTTGCCGGCGCCAGGCCCGCCCAGCACGAATACAACCTGCGGCTTCATCACCAGCGACACCCGGTACAGCAAACTCGGGACCTTCTGCGACAAGTTACCGAACAAACGGCCGATCATAAACTAGCGCCACCGGCTGCGGGTACAACCCGGCGAAGTATGGATATATAATGATAGTATTAATAAGCCGAGCTGGCCGGTGTATGCGTGTCAGTGAGAGTTGATGTCAAACGACACTACTTCCGCTATCGAGCAAATCCACCAATGGCGTCCCACTCTAGCGTGACGCATGCTCGTAGACACGCCCGCGTGCACTTGTTATTTTTTTTTTCAATGCAGAGGTCGGGTGACGCCCCTCCCTCCTCTACCTCCACACAGCATCAGCACCTCGAAACCGAACAACTCGACCCTCCGCGGGAAGAGGATGCTCTCCGGCCCGTGAGGCTGAGCGGCAACAACGAGATCGATAGCCTGACGGTATAGTCGCTGTTTCCCCGCCTGCACGTTTATGCCGCCTCGCTGCCTCCATTCATATTGCACCATTCATGCATCCCCAAGAATGGAAACTCGCTGCGAGGAAAGGAAAAAAAAAAGAGAAACATTAAAATAACCCTCTGCGGCCCCGGTGGCTCGCTTTCGTAAGACATCGTCCTCGCTCGTTTTTTACTGAAGCTTCCTTTTCATGGCGGGCTTAAAGTGATGAGGACCCCCGATTTTGGCTTGTGAGGGCGCCTCGCGAATGTAGGGCTAGTACAGGAAAAGCCGAGCAAACAAAAGGCATCCAGACCCCCTCCTCCTCTGACGCACCTGGCTGCCCTGTCGCCACTTGACATGACAGCGCAGAGCCGGGAGCAGAGCAGCAGGATCAAGGGGCACCGACGTGCGGCCGGACGTGCGGACACGACGGGGAACACAGGAGCCTGCGGACGCTCGGCGGAGAGGCAGCAGCAGCAGCCCAGGGGAGGCCGGATTGCAGTTTCTGGGGACGAGCGCCAAGGGCAGTGCGGCAGTCAGCAGGCAGACCGGGGGGAGGAGGCTGCGAAGATCTGCGATACTTCCCCCCAAGTCAACACTGCTGTCTCACCTCCATATCATCCTAAAGATATTATGGTGGAAGTTTTCATTTTTCATCAATGGTGACTGTTGCTTATTCCCCTAGCTTTTTTTCTTCTTCTTCTCGCCCCTTTCTTCCTTTATCCAATCAGTGATTATGTGCAATTAAAGGATTAGATCTGCTCTTGAGGCAAGGGTGGAACCCTGAGGGGACTGATGTGCATACTGGCCAGGTATCATCGGCTCCCGTCTTCTCTGGCTTTGCTCATTCTGCTTGTCGCCTGCACTATGGGCTGTATTCAGAGCATCGCATGCAAGCCCCGCATCAGACGGGAGAACATTGTAGTGTATGAGGTGTCCGCCTCTATTGACCAGTGTCCCACCATCATTGAGGAGAACTCACCGATTGTGCTCCGCTACAAGACACCTTACTTCAGGGCCTCAGCGGGAGTCGTGATGCCACCAGTGCCCCGCAACGAAACCTGGGTGGTGGGCTGGATCCAAGCTTGCACCCAGATGGAGTTCTACAATACCTACGGCGATATTGGCATGTAAGTGTGTAGAAGACGCCATCAAACCTCTCTTGCTTACTGTGGGCCTCTAAGGTGTGCATGTGATTCTCTCACACACACACATCTAGACCAAAACCCTGTACCTGGCACTGCCAGACACACACACACACACACACACACACACACACACACACACACACACACACACACACACACACACAAAAACAAAGCCTCTCATCCTCTGCTTCTCTGTGTCCTCTTTTGTCCGCTGCTGCAGGTCCAGCTGGGAGTTACCAGAACTGCGAGAGGGTCGGGTCAAGGCCATCAGTGACTCGGATGGTGTCAGCTACCCCTGGTACGGCAACACCACAGAGACGGTCACCCTCACCGGCCCTACATCCAAACCGTCCCGTCTGACGGTCAGCATGAACGACAACTTCTACCCCAGTGTGACCTGGGCTGTCCCCATCAGCAACAGCAACACACCCATGCTGACCCACATCACCAGGGACCAGAGTTTCATCACCTGGTTGGTGGCCATGAACTCTGTCACGAAGGTACGCCCGAAACACAGCGATCCCGCCTTTGTTCCCACATCACGATAAGATGGGGGGAGGGGGGAGAAAAACAGCCGTATATCTTCAGAAACCACTCTCCCATTTCACACTGGCTATGATGTAATCACTTTCTCCTGCACTTTCCCAGTCTGGTGTAAAGTTACAAAATATCTCATCATTACCTTCAACTCTCCTGATGTAGCAGCGGCATCAGAAGTCAGTCCAGCACAACATGTGAATCAGGATGTGTTGTCTTTTGAAAGAGATATTTTATTAAAGAACACGAGGAAAGCACGGCTGTTTTAGTTTTGTGTCAGCAGCTTGGTCTTAAAAGATCATCAGCAAGCACATCGACCATATTAACACGATGGCTCTGTCTCCTCTTCCAGGAGCGTATAGTGTTGCAGACGGTGCGGTGGCGGATGCGGGTGGATATCGCCGTGGATCCAGACATGCCGCTGGGCTCTCGGGCCTCACTGGTGGGCCGCCCCTACCAGGAGCAACCGCACATCCTCAACTACCAGGAACCCATCCCTCCCAACGCGCTGGGGAGGCCGAACGCCAACGATGCCCAAGTGCTAATGTGGAGGCCGCGGAGAGGGGCGCCGCTCGTCGTCATACCGCCAAAATAAGAGAGTGAAATGTTTGCACACACAAAAATATGATTGTTCCCTTTTGGAAAAAAAAGAAGTAGAGGGGGGTGTAAATGGATAGGAAAGTAAGCCCGATGGTTGCCCCCCCCTCCACCCCTCCGTGGCTTCTTCTTCCTGAATGATTCAAATGGACTATCGCAATTAGCCGGTACGGATATTACATCTGGGATCTGACGTAGCACAAGAAGTCCACAGCAAACTATTTGTCAAGGACCTGGAGCTGCATCAAAGCTTGTTTGAACCCCCTCACATGCTTTGGACTGGAATATAGAGTTATGCCTGCCTTTTAGCTGAGAAGGAAAAGCTGTTTTTAGATGTATCGCAGAGGTATTAGACCACAACAAGAACTGCATCCTGCATCCTTATGTAGACCCTATTGCATGAGAATGAGAGGAACACACAAAAAAAACCTCTCCTTGGAGAACTTTCGAATAGCATTTGTTTTGTATAACTTGTTACCTGAAGACATTTTGATTGAAAAGTCAGCCAAAAAGAAAACAAAAAATACAGAGGGCTGGTAAACCTCATCAGTGCCAACAAAGGCCTTCAGCAATCTCAGTATTAAAGGATGTATACAGATCATTTAAAAGAGACAAAGTATTATACAAATCTTTTTAGGTGAAGAATAAACTCGTACATCGACCAGATTGTAACAACAGCACCCACTTGGCATAAAAGTCTGGGAGAAGAGAAAAAAAAACAGCCTGCTGTAGTTTTCACTTGAGTTCTGCTAATACACCAAACGTACGCACCCAGCATAGTTTCTTGCCTCAGTTGTGCAGCTGATGCTGTTTTGTTTTTTGTTTTGTTTTTTTTTGGATGGGTGTCAGATTTGTCTGAGGGATGAGCCAGATCTGTTGCTACCTTAAATAAATAATGTCAGCTATGCGTTCAATAAGTGCAGCGTAAATGACTTGGAGCAGTGCCGGACAACAGATTTGAAACAAGAAGGCGATAGCAGTCGGCACATATATCACAGGTGGAGCGAGGCCAAACTGTCCCGAGGCTACATTTGATGTTGCACTACAATCCAGGGAATAGAAATGTACCCGTGATGGTTTTGCCGGTGTGAAACTAAGCCCGACACCATTTTAAAAATGGGTTTTATTTGGATCCGTGCCGGCACTGCTTCTGTGACGTCATACTGATTATTTGTCCGGCAGATTTCTGCAGATAAACACGCAGATGAAGACCGTCACTGCGTCGTGGCCACGGCCCGTCCTGGGCCTCCGTCCAGGTCCCTGCCTGCCACTCTGCACAAGTCACATGACTCATCTTCCATCTGTGCTTCTCTCCAGGTTCACGCCTCACCTTCCCATATGCCCGCTCTCTTTTCTCCCCTGGCTGCACACCTCATACACGCAGACTAGGGCCATACCGAAGTCACAAATCCTTTCTGAGATCCACAACTATGCAAACATTGTCTGTGTCTGGAGTAAAACTGCTGGAAACACTGCAAAATTAACAGGAAAATAGGCTAAATGAGTTCTCCCACCAACGCCCTGCCATCTTATTTTATGCTGCTTTTATCTGCTGGGATCAATGTTGAATAAAAATGATTGTTGCTACCAATTAAAAAGTACACAGAGGTTAAAATAGGTCATATTAATTCAGTGTATCTTCATTGGTCACAGCACCTCGGCTCATTCAGCCATCTGTTGCTATAGAGACCGGTTTGGTTTTCCTGAGTGCACTGCAACTGGAACTGAAAAAAAAGAAAAAGAAAGAAAACGAAAAGAACTGTTCAAAATATTCATGGGTGTGCCGACATCTGTGTGCGAGGATTAGAGAGAGTGTATGTGTGGGGGCGCTCACACACACACACAGACGCAGGTAGACTTTGATGTAAGATGAGATCAAGGCAGCGCTGGTTGTTTCAGCATAAAAAAAAGAGTTTAATTTATTCATTTGTTGTTACATAAAGAGCTTTTCTTTTTGTTTTTCTGAATTTAAATAACCCTAAAACGAGCGCTTTTGATATACATGTTCAGACTGTGAGTAGCAAGGTCAAAGCAGTCGTTTCAGTTTTATGTGAAATTTCATCTCTTATTTTTTTTAAAAAAGGGAAAAAAGGACATTCAGCATCTTTGGACAGAGGTAACCCCTCCTCTTTGCAGCACGTTTACTCCTCCTTCCACCACTAGATGGAAGTGCTGTCAAGGATTCGCCTCCCGTTTGCTTTGTAAATGAATACACAGTATTTCTTATCAGAGTTCTTTCGTTCCCAAAACAATGTTTTTATTATTACTTAGAAAACCTCCCACTAATGTCAAAGAAAGAAAACACACAAACAAAAACCACACGAGCTCCTCGTACTGATAATACAAACAGCTCTTTTGCCCTTTCAGAAAAAATGTTCAAGCATAGGAAATAAAAATGTTTTTGCCCCTTCAAAACAAACTGAACACCACATGGACGGCAAGAACTGGTTATTTAAACAGACTAAATGACTGACTTATAGAAAGTTTACGAAAGGTCCCAAAGTGCCCAAATGTTTTTTCTTTGTGATTTACAATATATGCTTTGGTTTGTTTGTTTGTTTCTGAACGAAGACGTTATCTGTCTTATCCAGCATGTAACATCTGGTTTATGACTGAGGTTCTTTATTGTTTGCCATATCTATGTTGTTCTGTATGAAACAAAAAAAACAACAAAAAAAGATGAAGTCAGTCTGACCGCTTTGCAACATGTTTTAATTTTTCTACGTGCTTGGCAGTGTCTGGAATATGTTAAATGTAACCCATCTTAAGCGTACACTCAGCGGCAGCTTCATTAGGTACACCTGTCAGACTGCTCATTGGATATCTACGATCATCCAATCACATCGCAGCAACTCTGCTCATTAGGACATGTAGACATATTCAGGATGAGATGCTGAAAACTGAGTGTGAGAATGTGGAAGTACAGTGATTTCATTGACTTTGCACAGGCTGGTCTGAGTAATTCAGAAACTGCTGGTCTATTTTTACACACAACTATCTCTACAGTTCATAAAGAATGATCCAAACAGGTAAGAAAACTGTGCACAGTAGTGAAAATGCCTTGTTGAGTTCAGAGGAGAATGATCAGACTGCTTTGAAATGACAGGAAGACAACAGCGACTCGAATAAACACTTGTTACAGTCAAGGTAGGGAGAAGAGCATCTCTGAATGCATAACACATCGAACCTGCTGTCAGCTAAGAAACTGGGGTTACAGTTAATACATGATAGTTTTAGAGGTATTTTCCTGGCACGCTTTAAGCAGAACACAAGCCCTTGTATGTATGACAGCCCTGAGTATTGTTGCTAAACCTGTCTATCCCTTTACGACCCATCTTCTGATGCTTCCAACAGGATAATCGACCCTATCATGAAGCGCAAATCATGTCAAACTGTTTGTTTGAACATGAGAGCTCGCTGTACTCAAACAGCCTCCAGTAGAGCACCTTTGCAATGTGGTGGAGGATCCAGACAGATTATAAAAATCTGATACGACGCGCTCCTTTGTTATTATTATTTTAGCACGTGCACGTGCTAGTAAGTGCAATATGCTGTTGTGCTTTTTCAAAACTTCTCTGCTGATATCTAAAGAAACACTTTCCATTTGCCCCCGCGACCCTGAAAAGGATAAGCGGAAGTGAATGGATGGCTGGACTTTCCATTTGCACTAAAATTATGTGCCACTTCTTCAAAAGACGTGATCATTTTAAAATTACAATTCTTTAGCAACCCAAAGCTTAAATGTAGCATCTGTACCTCCTGAGGTGGAATGTCACAGTTCTAATACTGACACACGTGAACTAGTTTCACATTAGTTTGCCAGCAAGGATAAGGTTTGCTTATCATGTCCTCCTGTTCGCCTTACGCCGTTTGCTTTTCTGTAGTGTTAAGTTTACCTGACATGCTCAAAACAATAGCTTTCACATGAGTCACTGCTAACATCCATTTTGTTAGATGTTCTTTTTCAGAGAAGGCCCACTTCCAAAAGACTGTATTTCCCAGTAACTTGTCTTTACTTTTTCTGTAAAGAAATTGTTCATGTGGCAAATTCCTGGTCACAGTTCGTAGAGCCACAATTCACGCAGGTCTCTGATTACACTTTGTTGGTGCTGCTGCTGGCAGGTTTCTGCTCATAGCCGTAAAGAAATGTGGCAGCAATAACCAGCACTGCACCTAGAAAAAATACGCTGAGAGACACAGAGAAAAAGAAAATGCATTAAGTTGGAAGCACAACACGTGAGGCAACTTGTGTGTATGACAGTTATCACTGTTACTATTACTAGTTCTGTGTGGAGCTTTGCCAAGATTTTGAATACAGTGCCTTTCAAAAACATTGCTGCTGATTAGAAGATAGCGAAACAGTAGTTGCCCTCTTCAGGATTTCTTTCTTGTTATGTTATGACGTGACTTAATTCTGATTTTCCACATTGTTTTTGGAAAGCTGACATGTTCAGTACATTCATCACACGCAGGCCTGATTACTGCCAGACCAGCTGAATTGAGAAATCCCTTAAACAGAAGCTGGATGGTGAAGTGAAGTAGGCTAAAAGATCTCAAAAAGTCATCTATTAGTCTGGAAAGGGGTTACAAAGCCATTTCTAAGGCTTTAGAACTTCAGTGAACCACGGTGAGAATCATTATCCACAAATGCAGAAAACTTACAACAGTGGTGAATCTTCTCAGCAGCAGCTATCCTACCAAAATTACTCCAAGATGATCAACGGTCACAAATGAACCTAGAAGACCATCTAAAGCAGAGTTAAACAACTCCAGGCCTCAAGTGCTGGTGTCCTGCAGGTTTTAATGATTAGTTTAGTGCCGGCCTCTGGAGAACTTCAAGACATGTTGAGGGGGTAATTTAGCCATTTAAATCAGCTGTGTTGGATCAAGGACACATCTAAAACGTGCAGGACACCGACACTTGAGGCCCGGAGTAGCCTACCCCTGGTCAAAAAGAACTGCAGGCCTAACTTGTCTGACTTAAAGTCACTCCACAAGTGAACAACATAAAAGAGACTGTGCAAAAATAGCATCAGTGTGAGAGTCTAAGGCAAGAACCAGTGCTGGCCAAAAGAACACAAAGACTCATATTATATTTACCAAAAATATCTTAATGACTCCCAAGACTTTTTAGAAAATATTCTCTGACGAGACGAAAGGTGAACTTCTTGGAAGCTTTCATTCCTGTTACATGCATCTCCTAAAAGAATTTCATACCAGCAGTCAAACATGGTGGTGGTGATGTTCGGGGGCTGTTTTTCTGCTTCAGGAATTGGACAACTTGCTGTTCCCTGATGGAACCATGAATTCTGCTCTGTACCATAAAATCCTGAAGAAGAATCTCCGGCCATGAGTTTATGCCCTGAAGCTCAAGGTTTCTCGGCTTATGCGGCATCACCATGTCTTGCAGTCCTTGCAGATTGCTTCTGCTGAAGGCGGCACAACCACTTATTACGTTTTAATAACTAACCCAGTTATTTACTTGGCTTATCTTTTCTAATTCTAAAATTCGTTTGATGATCTGAAACATCTAAATTTAACAAATATGCAAAAAACTACAAAATCAGGAAGGGGGCAAAAACATTTCACTGCACAGTTTAACATGTTTGGAAGCAAAGACTTGCTGATTAGTATTAAAATAAGGCAGATTTTTATTAGTTAAAACCAAAAACGCTAAACTGGAGTTTGTGATTGAAGAACTATTTTTTAATCAACACAAAACCTGATGAAAATCCACAAATGTGAAGGTGGTCAGCGCAGTCAGGTGACTGTTAAAAGACATCTGGATTCTGTTTTAACTGGTTTCCTGATAATCAGTGTCAATTGCTGACACACAGGTAGGTCCAAAAGTTTTTGGATAATAATAGTTTTTAATAGCACGCCTCGTTACACCACCACAGTGGATTTTAAATCATGATTGTTTTCTGTAAAATAGACTGTGGTGGAGGCAAAAGGCAAAATTACAAACAAAGTTTCTTTGTCAGAAACTTAAGGACCTAAATGTATTTCAGCCTGTAGTAAAGCTGCTAGATCTAAAAAAAAAAAAAAAAAACCCTCAAGAATATCATGTTTTCCACTGATAAAGTGTTAGCAAAATAATATTTTTTTTATTGTGCATAAGCGCGCTTGTGTTTACCTTGTGGGATTAAAGTCCTTCAACAGGAAATACGAAATGAGTGTAGACACCATGATTGATAGAGAGGTGGCAAATCCTTTGAGGATGTTGTCAGCATATTTAATGACTACAGCCACGATCAGCCCGCCGAGAGCCTGAAGACATGCAAACAACACAAAGGCAGACATGAACAACTCCACAAAGACTGCCATAAAACTCATGGAAGTCGAATGATGTACTGTAGTGAAACACGATGGCACAACCTGTAAGACGACAACTATGCAGGTAATAGTGTTGTATCCCTGGAAAATCCCCTCCTGCTTCAAGCTTTCGCCATCATACACCACCATGCCTGTCAAGCCAAACACAAAACTGAACAAACCTGAAAGAGACAAGAGAAAGTGATAAAGATCAGGTCCTTGCTGGGACAAGTAAGACAAAGGTGGTGTTTTAACTAAGGAGCAATATAAGGCAAGAAGAACAAAAGGAAATGAGCCATAGCCATGCTGTCTTAAAGCAGACTGCAGGCCTAAGATGCCATCAAGTTTTATCAATATACAGCCCATAAACTCACCTTGAATGTGCACCTCCTCTGTTTAATCTTTATTGTTATACACATAGAACAAAATATCCCAAGAAACTCACATCCATATGCCAAGAACAGTTTTACTTGCCAAATCACCAAATCAGTCTAACGTTGTGCTTGTACAAAGGTATATATGTATATATATATGTATATGTATATATATATGTATATATATACATATATATACATATAT